GGGCAAGATGTACGCCAACAAGCGCCTCAACAAGAAGCGCCTCAAGAAGCGCAAGGGATACGAGGTGGGGGGAGATCGGAGGGGCCCCCTGCGGGCGGCCCTCGGTGCCCAAATCCCAAATCCCTCCCTCTGTCACCAAATCTGTCCCTCGGTCCCCAAATCTGTGCCCAAATCCCTCCCCCTGTCCCCAAATCTGTCCCTCAGTCACCAAATCTGTCCCTCGGTCCCCAAATCCCAAATCCCTCCCTCTGTCACCAAATCTGTCCCTCTGTCCCCAAATCTGTCCCTCGGTCCCCTCGGCGCCCAAATCCCTCCCCCTGTCACCAAATCTGTCCCTCGGTCCCCCCAGTGCCCAAATCCCTCCCCCTGTCACCAAATCTGTCCCTCGGTCCCCAAATCCCAAATCCCTCCCCCCGTCACCAAAACTCTGTCCCTCGGTCCCCCCAGTGCCCAAATACGTCCCTCTGTCACCAAAACTGTCCCTCAATCCCCTTGGCACCCAAATCTGTCCCTCTGTCACCAAAACTGTCCCTCAGTCGCCTCAGCACCCAAATCTGTCCCTCAGTCCCCCCAGCACCCAAATCCCTCCCCTCGGTCCCCAAATCTGTCCCTCAGTGCCCAAATCCCTCCCTCTGTCACCAAATCTGTTCCTCGGTCCCTCGGTGGTCCTCCAGTGCCCAAATCAATCCCTCTGTCCCCAAATCTGTCCCTCAGTGCCCAAATCTGTCCCTCGGTTCCCTCAGCAGTCCCCCAGCACCCAAATCCATCTGTTTGTCCTCAAATGCGTCCCTCAGTGCCCAGATCTGTCCCTCTGCCCCCAAATCTGTCCCTTTGTCCCCAAATCCATCCCTCTGCCACCAAATCCCTCCCTCGGTGCCCTCCGTGGTCCTTGTGTCCCCAAAATCCGTCCCTCTGTCCCCCAGGTCCGTCCCTCTGCGTGTCCTTGGCGTGTGGTTTACGCGCTTCCCTTGGCACGTGCCACCCGTGTTGTCCTTGGTGTGTCCCTGGTGTGCCCTTGGCGTGTCCTTGGTGTGCCCTTGCCATGTCCTTGGCATGTCCCCCACCCATCCCTCCCTTTGAACCCCCCCGCGGCGGTGCCAACGCATGCCCTTGGCATGTCCTTGGTGTGTCCTTGGCGTGTCCTTGGTGTGTCCCCCACCCATCCCTCCCTTTGAACCCCCCCGCGGCGGTGCCAACGCGTGCCCTTGGCGTGTCCTTGGCGTGTGCAGGCGGCGCTGGTGGAGAAGCGGATCCTGGCGCGCGTCCACAGCCGCTTCATCGTGTCCTTGGCCTGCGCCTTCCAGACCAAGACCGACCTCTGCCTCGTCATGACCATCATGAACGGCGGCGACCTGCGGTACGGGGGGGGGGGTTAGCATGGTCTTGGCATGTTCTTGGCGTGTCCTTGGCGTGTGCCACACGCGTGTGTGTGGGACTGGGGACGAGGGCGGTGCCGGGGTCTCCATGGCACGGCCCCCAAGTGTGTCCTTGGTGTGTCCTCCAGGGATGGAGTGTCCCCCCCATGTCCTTGGCATGTCCTTACTGTGTCCCCAGAGACCTGGAGGGTCCCCATGTCCTTGGCATGTCCTTGGAATGTCCTTATCCTGTTCCCAAGGACTGGAGTGTCCCCATGTCCTTGGCATGTCCCCAGAGTGTCCCCAGGGACCTGGAGAGCCCCCATGTCCTTGACATGTCCCCAGAGTGTCCCCAGGGACCTGGATGTCCCCATGTCCTTGGCATGTCTTTACCATGTCCCCAGAGTGTCCCCAGGGACCTGGAGAGCCCCCATGTCCTTGACATGTCCTTACCGTGTCCCCAAAGACCTGGATGTCCCCATGTCCTTGGTATGTCCTTACCATGTCCCCAGAGACCTGGAGAGCCCCCATGCCCTTACCATGTCCCCAGAGTGTCCCCAGAGTGTCCCCAGAGTGTCCCCACGTCCCTGGCCTGTCCCCATGCCCCCGTCATGCCCCCGTCACACCCCCGTCACGCCCCCGTCACGCGTGCGCTGAGCGTGTCCCCGGCGCGGGGGTGGCGGGGCAGGTTCCACATCTACAACGTGGACGAGGCCAACCCGGGGTTCGAGGAGCCGCGGGCCGTGTTCTACACGGCGCAGATCCTGCTGGGGCTGGAGCACCTGCACCAGCACCGCATCGTCTACCGCGACCTCAAGCCCGAGAACGTCCTGCTCGACGACGCCGGTGACGCCCGGGGGACACGGGGGATGGGGGACAGAGGAGGGAGGGGTGTTGGGGTGTTGGGGACGTTGAGGGCATTGGGGTGTTGGATATATTGGGGACATTTAGGGTGTTAGGGATGTTTGGGGCATTGGGGACATTGAGTGTTGGGGACATTGGGGATGTTGGGGACGTTGGGAGTGTTGGGGGTGTTGGGGACATTGGGGATGTTGGGGACGTTGGGGACATTGAGGACATTTAGAGCGTTGGGGATGTTTGGGGTGTTGGGGACGTTGGGGTGTTGGGGACACTGGGGTGTTGGGGACATTGGGGACATTGGGGAGCATTGAGGATGTTGGAGGTGTTGGGGACACTGGGGGTGTTAGGGACGTTAGGGACATTGGGGACGTAGGGGGCATTGGGGGTGTTGGGAATGTTGGGGGTGTTGGGGGCGTTGGGGACGTTGGGGACTTTGGGGACATTGAGGGCATTGGGGACACTGGAGGTGTTGGGGACATGGGGGACATTGGGTGTGTTGGGGACGTTGGGTGTGTTGCGGGTGTTGGGGACATTGAGGACATGGGGACATTGGGGACGTTGGGTGTGTTGGGGACATTGGGGGTGTTGGGGACATTGGGGACGTTGAGGACATTAGGGGCGTTGAGGACATTGGGGACATTGGGGGTGTTGGGGGTATTGGGTATATTGGGGACATTTAGGGCATTGAGGATGTTTAGGGTGTTGGGGACATTGGGGATGCTGGGGACATTGGGGACATTGGGGACGTTGGGGCATTGGGGGTGTTGGGGATGTTGGAGGTGTTGGGGACACTGGGGGTGTTGGAGGTGTTGAGGACATTGGGGGCATTGGGGGTGTTGGGGACGTTGGGGACATTGGGGACGTTGGGTGTGTTGGGGACATTGGGGGTGTTGGAGATGTTGGGAATATTGGGGACATTGGGGATGTTGGGGACACCGGAGATGTTGGGGACACTGGGGGGCCATTGGGGACACTGGGGGGTGTGTTACTGGTGTGTGCAGGGCACTGGGACGGGTTCCTGGGGAGGTGTCCGTGGTGACCCCGGTGACCCCGATGTCCCTGGTGTCCCTGGTGACCCTGGTGACCCCGGTGACCCTGGTGACCCTGGTGTCCCCGGTGACCCCGATGTCCCTGGTGTCCCTGGTGCCCCTGGTGACCCCGGTGACCCTGGTGACCCTGGTGACCCCTGGTGACCCCGGTGTCCCTGGTGTCCCTGGTGACCCTGGTGACCCCTGGTGCCCCTGGTGACCCCTGATGTCCCTGGTGCTCAGGCCACGTCCGTCTGTCCGACATGGGTCTGGCCGTGGAGATCAAGGAGGGGCACGACAAAACCCGCGGCTACGCCGGGACCCCGGGTAGGGACATTGGGGACACTGGGGACATTGGGGACATTGAGGGACATTGGGAGGATTGGGGGACATTGGGGACACTGGGGACATTGGGGGATATTGGGGATGCTGGGGGGACATTGGGGACATTGGGGGACATTGGGGACATTGGGGACACTGGGGACATTGGGGACATTGGGGACATTGGGGACATTGGGGACATTGGGGACATTGGGGGGACATTGGGGGGACATTGGGGACATTGGGGACTTTGGGGACATTGGGGACATTGGGGGACATTGGGGACATTGAGGGGACATTGGGGACATTGGGGGACATGGGAGGACATGGATTAATCACCCCTCAATCACCGGGGTCCCCCTCCAAGCCTCGGGGTCCCCCCCATGTCACCTGTCTCCTCCATGTCCCCCGTGTCCCCCCCATCCCCTCCCTATCCCTTCCCTGTCCTCTCCATGTCCCCCCTGTCCCCTGGGTGTCCCCCCTGTCCCCTCAGTGTCCCCATGTCACCCCTGGGTGTCCCCGCAGGGTTCATGGCCCCGGAGCTGCTGCGGGACGAGGAGTACGACTGGTCCTGTCCTCCCTGTCCCCCATGTCCCCCGTGTCCCCTGTCCCCTCAGTGTCCCCCCTGTCCCCTCGGTGTCCCCCCTGTCCCCTCCATGTCCCCTCAGTGTCCCCTGGGTGTCCCCACAGGGTTCATGGCCCCGGAGCTGCTGCGGGACGAGGAGTACGACTGGTCCGTCGATTACTTCACGCTGGGGGTGACGCTCTACGAGATGCTCGAGGCCAAGGGGCCCTTCCGGCGGCGGGGGGAGAAGGTGACGGCACCCCCAGGGACCCCCAGGGACCCCCACTGCCACCCAGTGCCACCCAGTGCCACCTAGTAACCACAGGGACCCCCAGGAACCCACAGGAACCTCAGGGACCCCCTGGGACCCCCAGGGACCCCCAGTGCCACCCAGTATCATCCAGTGCCACCCAGTAACCACGGGGACCCCCAGGGACCCCCAGTGCCACCCAGTGCCACCCAGTGCCACCCAGTAACCACGGGGACCCCCAGGGACCCCCAGTGCCACCCAGTAATCACGGGGACCCCCAGGGACCCCCAGGAACCACAGGGACCCCCTGGGACCCCCAGGGACCTCAGGGACCCCCAGGGACCCCCAGTGCCACCCAGTGCCACCCAGTGCCACCCAGTAACCACGGGGACCCCCAGGGACCCCCAGTGCCACCCAGTAATCACGGGGACCCCCAGGGACCCCCAGGAACCACAGGGACCCCCTGGGACCCCCAGGGACCTCAGGGACCCCCAGGGACCCCCAGTGCCACCCAGTAATCACGGGGACCCCCAGGGACCCCCAGGGACCCCCAGTGCCACCCAGTGCCACCCAGTAACCACGGGGACCCCCAGGAACCCACAGGAACCTCAGGGACCACCTGGGACCCCCTGGGACCTCAGGGACCCCCAGAGACCCTCAGGGACCCACAGAGACCCTCAGGGACCCACAGAGACCCTCAGGGACCCCCAGGAACTGCAGGGACCCCCAGAGACCCCCAGGAACCACAGGGACCCCCAGTACCACCCAGTAACCATAGGGACCCCCAGGGACCACAGGGACCCCCAGGATCCCTCAGGGACCCCCACGGCCTCCCAGTACCACCCAGTGCCACCCAGTACTGCCCAGTAACCACAGGGACCCCCAAGAAACCCCTCAGAACCCTCAGGAACCTTCAGAAACCCCCCTTTCCCCTCCCCGCCTCCCCAAAGGTGGAGAACAAGGAGGTGACGCGGCGCATCCTGCACGACCCCGTGAGCTACTCGGGCCGGTTCAGCGCGGCGGCGCGGGCGGCCTGCGAGGGGCTCCTGGCCAAGGACCCCCAGAGCCGCCTGGGCTTCCGGGGGGGCGACTGCGCCCAGCTCAAGGCGACTACCCCTTCTTCAGGGCCCATCAACTGGGGGCGGCTCGGGGCAGAGTAATGCCCCAGGAGGGGTTTGGGGGAGTTTGGGGGGATTTGGGGGGTCCTGGGAGCAAGAAACGGGGTCTCCAGAGCTACTGGGGGGCACCAGGAGGTACCTGAGACATTGGGGGTCTCTTTGAGGGGGTTCAGAGGTACCTGAGATGTTGAGGGGCTACTGGGGGTACCTGAAAGTTGAGGAGTCTCTTGGGGGGTCCGAGAAGATACCCTGAGATGTTGGGGGCTGCTGAGAGGGGGTTCAAGAGGTACCTGAGATGTTGAGGGGTGCCAAGTTGATACCATGAGATGCTGGGGGTCTCTTGGAGGAGGTCCAGAAGTTACCTGAGATGCTGAGGGTCTCTTGGGGGCACCAGGAGGCACCTGAGACGTTGGGGGTCTCTTGGGAGGTCCAGAAGATACCTGAGATGCTGGGGGGTCTCTTTGGGGGGTTCAAGAGGTACCTGAGATGTTGAGGGTGCCAATTGATACCTGAGATCCTAGGGGTCTCCGGGAGGCACCAGGAGTCCGAGGGCATCCCCACAGACAAGGGGGTGACCTCGGGTTGTCCCCCTCCCCCAGGTCTGGGTGCCCCCCCTGTTCGTGCCGGACCCCCGGCAGGTGTACGCCAAGGGACCTGGGGACGTGGGGGCTTTCTCGACAGTGCAGGGGGGTGGAGCTGGACGGGGGGGACGCGGCGATGTTCGACGCCTTCGCCTCGGGCACCGTGGCCATCCCCTGGCAGGAGGAGCTGATCGAGACCGGCGTCTTCGACGAGCTCAACGTCTGGGGGGCCCCGGGGACGCTGCCCCCCGACCTGGACCCCAACGCCGCGGGGGGGGCGGGGGGGGGCAAGTCCTCCACCTGCTGCCTGCTCTGAGCGCCCCTCCCCCACCCCCCAAATTTGGGGGGGTGAGGGGGGCATACCCTGCTAATTTGGGGTGTGGAGGGCTCCAGGAGTGAGGGTGCCCACCCTATTCCCCAAATTTGGGGGGTGAAGGGGGGCATACCCAGCTAATTTGGGGTGTGGAGGGGCTCCAGGAGAGGGGGGTGCTCACCCCATCCCAAATTTGGGGGGTGAGGGGAGGGCATACCCTGCTAATTTAGGGGGTGGAGGGAGCTCCAGGAGTGGGGGGTGCTCACCCTATCCCAAATTTGGGGGGTCTGAAATGGAGGGGGGAGGGGTAAAATGAGAGGATTTGCCCACACCCCCCCCCCCAGCCCGCCTTGGGGGAGGGAGGGCTCAAAAATGGGGGAACCCCACACACCCCTTGGGATAGGCTGGAATTGGGGGGTCAAAATGGAGATCCCCTCCTTGGGATACCCGGAATGAGGGGTGAAGTTGGGGGTCCTCCCTCATTGGGGTATGGGGGAGGGGGCAAAATGGGGTCTCCCCCACCCCCCAATCCCGGAGGTTTATGAAATGGGGGAGTGTGAAAATTGGGGGATTCCCCCCTCCCTTCCTTGGGATACCTGGAATTGGGGGGGCTGAAAAGTGGGGACCCTTTTTTGGGGTGGGAGTGGGGGAGGGAGGACACAAGAGGACACCGCCCCAAAAAAATAAAATTTGGGGTGCGAGGGGCTCCAAAAGTGGAGGGGGTCGCTCCAGGGGTTCAAAACTGGGGGGGACACACGCCCTGGATATGTGGAATCTGGGGAGGGGGCCCAAAACTGGGATCCCCTAAAAAATGGGGGCGTCTCCCCATTGAGGATACCTGGAATGGGGACCCGAAAACACCCCCAAAATGAGCCCCCAGGAACCCTCCAAAACCCAAGCAACCCCCAAAGAAGGAGAGAGACCCCGAAAAAAAAAACCGTTAGGGGGAGCCCTGGGGACACCCCAAAACATGAGACACCCCCAAATTGGAGCCCCCTTTCCCCCCATGCACCCACAAAACCTCCAGGGCCCCCGCCCTCAGCTCAGTGCCACCCTGAGAGGAATCCCCCAAAATTTACCTCATGTCCCCCCACCCCCGACTCAGGGACACCCTTGGGACCCCCTCAAAAAAAAAAATGGGGTCCCTCGCTTTCTCCCCACCAAAAGGGGGTCCTCATTCCCCCTCCCCACTTCGTGTACAATAAATCGTGGTTGTTGCTGCTCCTGGTGTGGGTTTGGGGACAACCCCTCCCCCTCAGTGTCACCCCCGTGTCCCCCTCAATGTCCCCAACCTCCCTTGTCCCCCAATGTCCCCAACACCCCTTGTCCCTCCAAGTGTCCCCCAGAGTCCCCAACATCCTCCGTGTCCCCCCAGTGTCCCCTAACACCCCCCGTGTCCCCCATGTCCCCAACATCCCCCACATCCCTCTGTGTCCCCCAATGTCCTCAGTGTCCCCAATGTCCTCAGTGTCCCCCATATCCACCATGTCCCCCAATGTCCCCAGTGTCCTCCATGCCCCCAAATGTCCCCCAATGTCCCCAATGTCCCCCATGTGTCCCCAATGTCCCCCAGTGTCCCCCATGTCCCCAAATGTCCCCAATGTCCCCAGTGTCCCCCATGTCCCAGTGTCTCCCCAATGTCCCCCAGTGTCCCCCATGTCCCCAATGTCCCTCAGTGTCTCCCTCCAGTGTCCCCCATGCCCCCAAATGTCCCCCAGTGTCCCCCATGTCCCCCAATGTCCCCAATGTCCCCCAATGTCCCCAATGTCCCCCAGTGTCCCCCATGTCCCCAATGTCTTCCCCAATGTCCCCCAGTGTCCCCCATGTCCCCAGTGTCCCCCAATGTCCCCCAGTGTCCCCAAATGTCCCCCAGTGTCCCCAATGTCCCCCAGTGTCCCCAATGTCCCCCAGTGTCCCCCAATGTCCCCCAGTGTCCCCAATGTCCCCCAGTGTCCCCATGTCATGTCCCCCAATGTCCCCCAGTGTCCCCAATGTCCCCCAGTGTCCCCCATGTCCCAGTGTCCCCCAATGTCCCCCAGTGTCCCCAAAGTCCCCAGTGTCCCCCATGTCCCCAGTGTCTCCCCAATGTCCCCAGTGTCCCCCATGTCCCCAATGTCCCTATGTCCCCTCCAGTGTCCTCCATGTCCCCCAAATGTCCCCCAGTGTCCCCCATGCCCCCAAATGTCCCCCCATGTCCCCCATGTCCCCAGTGTCCCAAAGTCCCCCAGTGTCCCCAGAGTCGCCGAGGCGGCCTCAGCTCTAGGGTGTTTATTGGCGTCTCTAACACTCACTGATGCAGATAAATAGTGGACATTTGTCACCGCCACCGCCCTCGGGGACACCCCGGGGACACCCCCACCCCTCCCCCTCCCCGTCCTGCCCGGGGACCCCTCCCTGGCAGGGCCACCTCGAGGGGGAGGAGGGAGGGACAGGAGTGGGACGAGAGAGGGGACCCCGTCCTGGTGGGGGGGACACCCCTGGGGACATCCCATGGGGACACCTCCTTGGGGGACATCCCATGGGGATATTCCATGGGGACAACCCACGGGGACACCTCCTTGGGGACACCCCTTGGGGACATCCCATGGGGGTATTCCATGGGGACACCTCCTTGGGGACATCCCACTGGGGACAGCCCTTGGGGATACCCCATGGGGGACATCCCATGGGGACATTGGCCATGGGGCCACCTCCTTCTGGGGACATCCCATGGGGACACTGGCCATGAGGACATCCCCTTGGGGACATCCCCTTGGGGACATCCCTTTGGGGACATCCTCAGGGTCACCCCATGGGGACACCTCCTTGGGGACATCCCATGGGGACATTCCATGGGGACATCGGCCATGGGGCCACCTCCATTTGGGGACACCCCCTTGGGGACACTCCCATGGGGACGTCCCCATTGATGCCACCCCTTTTGGGGACACCCTTTTTTGGGGACATCCTTTTGGGGACACCCCCAGGGCCACCCCACGGGGACGTCCCCATTGATGCCACCCCTTTTGGGGACACCCTTTTTTGGGGACACCCTTTTTTGGGGACACCCCAAAGGCCACCCCACGGGGACGTCCCCATTGATGCCACCCTTTTGAGGACATCCCTTTTGGGGACACCCTTTTCAGGGACACCCTCCCCCCATCCCCAGCGATGTCCCCTCCCACTTTTGGGGTCACTCCCGGGACGTCCCCACTGAGGTGTCACCCCCAAGGTGCCACCCCCGCCCCTCCCTCCGTCCCCAGGGTCCCCCCTCCCTCCCCCTCCCCTTTATTTTTGTTGCCATTTTCCCAAATTTTCGCTCATTTTTGCCTTTTTTTGTTTTGTTTTGTTTTCTTTCCCCCTTAAAGGTGCGGTTTGGGGAGGGGAGGGGACACGAAGGGGTGGGGGGAGAGTGACACTGGAGGGGGTGGGCGTGACACGCGCGGGGTGGGGGAGGGGCAGGGGCAGTCAGTAGCAAACACGGCCACGAAAGTGCAGAGCAGGGGAGGGGCCGCGGGAAGAGGAGGAGGGGCTTGCACGAGGATTGTCCCGGTGCAAGAGAGAAGGGGGCCTTGCACGAGGGTGGGGATGGGTGAGGAGGGTCCTGGGGTGAGGAGGGTCCTCACACGAGGGTGGTCCCTGCACGAGGAGGGTCCTTGCACAAGGGTGGCCCTTGCACAAGGGTGGCCCTTGCACGATGACAATCCTTGCACAAGGGTGGTCCTTGCACAAGGGTGGTCCTTGCACAAGGACAATCCTTGCACGAGGGTGGCCCCTGCACGAGGAGGGTCCTTGTACAAGGAGTGTCCTCACACGAGGACAATCCTTGCACGAGGGTGGCCCTTGCATGAGGAGTGTCCTTGTACAAGGAGTGTCCTTGCACGAGGGTGGCCCTTGCAGGAGGCCCAGGCTCACACCAGGAGTGTCCTTGCACAAGGGTGGCCCTTGCATGAGGATGGTCCTCCAATGGGGATGGCCCTTGCACAAAGAGTGTCCTCACACAAGGGTGGTCCTTGCACGAGGACAATCCTTGCATGAAGGTGGTCCTTGCATGAGGACAATCATTGCACGAGAGCGGCTCTTGCACGAGGGTGGCCCTTGCACGAGGACAGTCCTAGCACAGGGAGTGTCCCTTCACAAGGGCAGTCCTTGCACGAGGACAGTCCCTGAATGAGGAGTGTCCTTGCACAAGAGTGGCCCTTCCACAAGGACAATCCTTACACGAGGGTGGTCCCTGCACGAGGCCTGGGCTCACACGAAGGGCCACACGAGGACGGGGTCCTCGTGCAAGGAATGTCCTCGTGCACCAGCCCAGCCCTCGTGCCAGGAAGACCCTCGTGGAAAGAAAACCCTCGTGGAAAGAAAACCCTCACGCAAGGATGACCCTCAAGGAAAGAAAACCCTCGTGGAAAGAAGACCCTCACGCAAGGATGACCCTCAAGGAAAGAAAACCCTCATGCAAAGATGACCCTCGTGCCAGGAGAACCCTCGTGCCAAGAAAACCCTCGTGCCAAGAAAACCCTCGTGCCAGGAAGACCCTCGTGCCAGGAAGACCCTCGTGGAAAGAAAACCCTTGTGGAAAGAAGACCCTTGTGCCAAGAAAACCCTCGTGCAAGGATGACCCTCGTGGAAAGAAGACCCTCGTGCAAGGAGACCCCTCGTGCAAGGAAGACCCTCATGGAAAGAAGACCCTCGTGCCAGGAAGACCCCTCGTGCAAGGAGAACCCCCCCCCCACGCCGTGGGTGTGCGAGCGTGGGAGTGCTCGAGTGTGGGACAGCCTTGCACGGGGAGGGGAGGGGAGGAGGGCTGGGTGTGGGGAGGGGATGTGGGGTGTGCCACTGGCCCTGCACGCTCGTGCAAGGCTCTGGGGGAGGGGGGGTCATCCCTACCACACGAGGGTGGCCCTTGCACGCTCGCACTCGCACGGGGACGCTCCTTGCACGCTCACAACGGCACGAGGGCGGCCCTTGCACACTCGCTATTGCACCAAGACACGTGCCACAGACCCCCCCCTTGCACAGGGCCAGTCCTTGCACGCTCACAATTGCACTAGGGTGGCCCTGGCACACTCACCATTGCACAGTGACACCTTTTGCACACTCACCATTGCACAGGGACAGTCCTTGCACGCTCACAATTGCACTAGGGTGGCCCTGACACGCTCACCATTGCACAGAGCCCCCCTTGCACACTCACCATTGCACAGGGACACCTTTTGCACACTCACCACCACACAGGGACAGTCCTTGCACACTCACCATTGCACAAGGACCCCCCCTTGCACATTCACAACTGCACAAGGACAGTCCTTGCACACTCATCATTGCACAGTTGTTCCCCTTGCACAGCAGGGACCCCCCTTGCACACTCACCATCGCACAGGGACCCCCCCTGCACACTCACCATTGCACAGGGACACCTTTTGCACACTCACCATCGCACAGGGACTCCCTTTGCACACTCACCATTGCACAGAGCCCTGCCTTGCACACTCACCATGGCACAGGAACCCCCCTTGCACACTCACCATTGCACAGGGACAGTCCTTGCACACTCACCATTGCACAGAGCCCCCCCTTGCACACTCATGACTGCACAAGGACAGTCCTGGCACACTCACCATTGCACAGGGACCCCCCTTGCACACTCACCATGGCACAGGGACAGTCCTTGCACACTCATCATTGCACAGGGACCCCCCCTGCACACTCACCATCACACAGGGACCCCCCTTGCACACTCACCATTGCACAGGGACCCCCCTTGCAACTCACCATGGCACAGGGACCCCCCTTGCACACTCACCATGGCACAGGAACTCCCCCTTGCACACTCACCATCGCACAGAGCCCCCCTTGCACACTCACCATCACACAGGGACCCCCCTTGCACACCCCCACCCCCCAGGTCCCCCGGGGGGGTCACAGGCGCTGGAATGTCGCTGCGGTGCCGTTAAGGTGCCAAACAGGGGTCGGGGTTTTTGGGGGCCCCGGGATAGTGGGGGGCCCCGGTGCACGGAGGGTGGGGAGGGGCCCCAATAGTGGGGGGCCCTTTGGGGGTGCAAAACGCTGAGGGGGAGGGGAGGATGGGCCCCATATATTGGGGGCCTTCTAGAGTGGGAGGGGGCTATTTTGGGGGTCCCTGGGGTTCCCCTAAACTGAGGGGAGGGCTGTAATGGGGGAATCCCTAAAGTGGGAGGGGTCCCTATGCTGGGGGGGTGGGGGTGTTTCTGATATTTAGGGGGGTCTCCTATACCGGGGGTGGGGTCCCATTATACTTGGGGGTCCCTATTCTCTGGGGGCCCCAGCCCCACCCCGTCTCCCAGTTTGGGGTGACTGGAAGGCCCCTCCCCACCCCCAGTATGCCCAGTGCTCCCCCCAGTCCCACACTGGTCCTGTGCTCCTCCCCGGAATTAGGGAGGTGTCCCCATTGCCCCCAAGTCCCATCAGAGGGTCCCTAATCCTGCTAAGGGACCCCAAACACCTGCAAGACCTCCCCCCCCAAATTCTATGGAGCCCCCCCCACTTTTTATGGGACCCCCAAATCTTAGGGGGGGGGGCCCTCCAACTCCTCTGGGCCCTCCCACCTCCTCCTATGGGGTCCCCCAAATTCTCTGGGGCCCAAAAATACCTGTGGGACCCCCCCAAGTTCTATGGGACCCCCTCGACCTCCTATGGGACCCCCAAAACTTTATGAGGGCCCCCCCATCTTGTACGGGCCCCCCTCTTCTTCTCTGGGACCCCCAAATTCCTATGGGGACCCCCAAATTTCTACGAGGACCCCACATTCCTGTGGGACCCCCATCCCCACCTTCTATGGGCCCCCCCTTCTTCTATGGGCCCCCCAAATTCTTATGGGGACCCCCTCAACTTCTACGGCCCCTCCCCCATTTCCTAGAGGTCCCCAAACCACCTTTAGGGGCCCCCCACGTGCTCTGCGACCCCCATAATTTTTGGGGCAGGACCCCCCTCTTCAAAACCCCACCCTGGCCCCTCCCCTCCCCTCAAGTCCCTCCCCGCTTTCCGGGGCCGTTCCCCTCCCCCGCCCGGGGAAGCCAAAAGTGGGGGGGCGGGGTGGGGGGAGGGGCACGGCTCCCGCCCGCCGGCACCGCCCCCTCCCAGAAAGCCCCCTCGTTTTCGGGGAGCACGAGGGACGAGGGCAGGGGAAGGGGTAGGGGTAGGCGGCCACGAGCCGGGGGGCGAAGGGCAGGGGAAGGTGGTGGGGGCGGCCGGAGTGGGACCCTCCCCTGCCCTGTGCCCCCCTCGGCCCCCGCCCTCGGGGTCTGAGCCCCCTCCCCTCCTCAGCAGAGCCAGGGGCTGCTCCTGCACCGGGGGCACCGGGGTACCCCGAGCTGGGCCCGGCCTGGGAGGGGGCGGCCCCTCCGAGGGGTCACCCCAGCCTCGCCGTCACCTGGGGCCACATCGGTGGGTGCAGCGGTGACATCCCGGGCTGGGGGGGTCGGCAGCGGGACCCCCGCCCTGTCACCCCCGCCCCGTCCCCCGGCGCCCGCAGCCCTCCTCCCTGCCCGCGGCCGGGGGTGTGGGCGATGACGGTGGTGGCGGGGCGACCCCGGCGGGAGGGACTCGGGGCGACCCCGGCGGCGGGGGACTCCGGGCGGTGTCGCTTGGCGTGCCGGCTCAGCGCCGCCGCCGTCTTGCACACCTTGGCGCAGCGGGCGCAGGCGAAGCGCAGCGACGGCCGCCGCCCCACCCGGGGGGCTCCTCCTCCGCCGTGCCCCCCGCCCGCGCCCCCCGGGGCCGTCCCCGCCGCCGCGGCCGCGTCGTGTCCCCGCTGGTGCTTGCGCAGCTTCCGCAGCGCCGAGCTCTTCCCGCACACGCGGCACGGGTGGAGCCGCTCGCGGCGCCGGGGGTCGCCATCACCGCCCTCCTCGGTGTCACCGACGACGCCGTCCCCCTCGGCCCAGCGCAGCGAGCGCAGCCTGCGGCGCCAGCGCGCTCTTCTTCGCCTTCGCCGCGCCGCGGCGCCGCGAGTGCCGCCGCCTTGCGCTTGGGCTTGTAGGAGTAGTAGGGCCGCCACAGCCGGTCCTCGGCGTCGCTGTCGTCGCGGGCGGCCGCGGTGGTGTCGGCGGCGGTGTTGGCGTCGCCGGCGGCGTCGCCGCGCAGGTCGTTGCCGGAGATGCGGCGCTAGCGATGGCCTCCTCGCCGATGCGCACCGTGATCTGGCACAGCCCCTCGCCCGCCGAGCCCGCGTACGCCGGCTTGGCCACGTAGGTCATGGTGCGGCCGCCGCCCCCGTTGGAGGAGCCGCCGCCGGTGCCGCCGGTGCCCGCGGGGGTCCCGTTGCTGGGGGCGGCCGTCGCGGCGTCGGTGCCGGCGCCCGCCTCGGCCGCCGCGGCCGCCGCGCGCTGGGCCTCGATGTAGTCGCGCAGCACCTGCTTCTTCATGGGCACCGCGGGCGCCGCGGGCGCCGCCGGCACCTCGGGCACGCCCGGCGCCTCCTCGGCCGCCCGCCCGTTGTAGGCGATGACGGAGGCGGCGGCGCCGCTGCCGCGCACGATGACCGAGGGCGCGGCACGGCCGTAGGCGATCACCGACGCCGGCTCGGGCCGCGGCGCCGGGAAGGCCTCGCCGGGCGCCGGGGCCGCGGCGGGGGCGTCGGCGGGCGCGCCGGGGGGCAGCAGGACCCCCCCGTCCGCCACGGCGCCCTGGCTGTAGGTCTTGTAGGGCCGCTTGTGCGCCCGCATGGGCAGCAGGCGGTAGAGCTTGAGCGCGTTGAGCTTGGGCCGGTAGCCGCCGTTGGGCGTCTTCTCGGAGGCGATGAGCCCCGGGCTGATGCCGTGGAAGGCTTTTTGGTGCGTCTTGAGGTTGTAGTAGGTGACGAAGGTGTCCCAGCAGAAGATGCACTGGTAGCGGCGCTCGCCCGTGTGCCACACCTCGTGCTTGGTGCGGTACTCGGCCAGCGCGAACACCTTGTCGCAGTAGCGGCACGGGTACTTGCGGCGCCACGAGTGGACGTTGGCGTGGCGCTTCAGGCTGGACAGCGTCATGTAGGAGCGGTGGCACACCCCGCACAGGTACAGCACCTGCCCGTCCACCACCTTCACCACCGGCTCCTGCTCCGGGCCCGGCTCCAGCGCCCGGTGCCGCAGCAGCAGCGCCTTCTTGGCCGCCTTGGGCGCCGGCGAGGCGGCCACGCTGGCGACGGCGGGCGTGGTCGTGGTGGCCGTGGTGGTCGTGGCGGCGGCGGCGGCGGCGGCGGCGGCGGTAGCGGCGTCCCCATCCCCGTCGCGACAGCCGACCTCGTGCGTCTGCAGGCGCTTGACGTGGATGAAGCTCTTGCCGCAGTGGCGCCAGGCGAGGCCGCGGCGCCCGCGGTGCAGCTTGGCGTGGAAGGCCAGCGCGGCCGCCGAGCTGAAGCCGCGCCCGCAGAGCCCGCAGCGCAGCGCGGGCGACACAGCGACACCGGCGAGGCCGGCGACACCGGCGAGGCGAGGCCGGCGCCGCCGTGGCCGTGTCCCCCGCCGTCTCGCCCGGGCCGCGCCGGGCACGTGGAGGTCCACGGGGCGGCGGCGGGCGCGGGGTCCCCCATGGCGGGGTTGGCGGCGGGGCGGCGGGGCCCACGTGCCGTTGGCGTCCCGGGGCGGCGCCGCCTCCAGCCCCTGCAGCGAGGGGATGCCGAGGCGCCGGCCCACGGCCCCCAGCGCCCGTGCGGCCGCCGGCGACGGCACCGCCAGGCGCGAGTTGTAGATGAAGTTGAGCACGTCGGAGAAGACGCCGGCCTGCACGCCCGGCAGCTCCAGCACCTGGGCGGGCGAGGGGCAGGCGGGCTCCTGCGCCAGGGCGCGCTTGAAGAAGGGGCTGGAGGCGGCCAGGACGTTCTTATGGGCGCGGAACTTGGTGTCCTCGGCGATGATGGTGACGTCGCAGAACTGGCCCCGCAGCCGCTGCTCGTTCAGCTCCAGCAGCAGCGCCCGGCAGTGCCCGGCGTCCGACACCTCCACGACCGGAGCCATCCCCGCGCGGGCCACCTGCGGGGAGACGGAGGTTGGAGGCACCCGGATGGGGGGATCCCTTTTTTGGGGTCACCCACGCATCTGGATCCCCTATTTGGGGTCACCTGGATGGGTGGGTCCTTTATTTGGGGTCACCCACATACCTGGATCCCCTATTTGGGGTTATCCAGGTACCTGGATTCCCTGTTTGGGGTCATCCAGGTACCTGGATTCCCTGTTTGGGGTCACCCGGATGGGGGGATCCCTTATTCGGGGTCACCCATGCATCTGGATCCCCTATTTGGGGTCACCTGGATGGGTGGGTCCCTTATTTGGGGTCACCCACACACCTGGATCCCCTATTTGGGGTTATCCAGGTACTTGGATCCCCTATTTGGGGTCACCTGGATGGGTGGGTCCCTTATTTGGGGTCACCCACATACCTGGATCCCCTATTTGGGGTCACCTGGATGGGTGGGTCCCTTATTTGGGGTCACCCACATACCTGGATCCCCTATTTGGGGTTATCCAGGTACCTGGATCCCCTATTTGGGGTCACCTGGATGGGTGGATCCCTTATTTGGGGCTGGATGGACACCTAAATCCCCTATTTGGGATCAGCCACATGCCTGGATCTCCTATTTGGGGTCGCCTGGATGGGTGGATCCCTTACTTGGGGTCACCCAGGTACCTGGATCCCCTATTTGGGATCACCTAAGTCCCTTCTACAGGGCTGGGTCCTCTCTATGGGGTCAACCAAACAAATGGGGCCCCTACTTGGGGTCACCTGGGTCCGTTCTCTGGGTGTTTGGGGGTCCCCATGGCCCAGCCGACCCCACTCACGGGGGTCCCCAACCCTGCAAGCCTCCACCCCCGGCCCCACAGATCGGGGGCTCTCAGCCCCACAGATCAGGGACCCCCAGCCCCACATACCCCGCTCTCTTGGTCCCAAATATGCCCCCCCTCATCACACAGATTGGGGTCCCTTTGCCCCATGGATTGGGGTCCCCCTGCCCTACAGATCGGGGTCCCCCTGCCCCACAGATCGGGGTCCCCCAGTCCCCACACCCCCACTGACATCCCACCTACCCCACAGCTGTAGGGCCTGAGGGGGGTCCCCCTGTGCTGTGGGGCCGGGGGGTGTCCCCCCCAAGCTGGGGGTCCCCCCTGTGTTATGGGGCTGGGGATCCCCCCCTGCTGTGGGGTCGGGACGGGGGTCTCTGTGCTGTGGGGTGAGGCCGGGGGACTCCCCACACCATGTCCTGGGGGCTGCTATTCCGTGGGTCCGGGGGTCGCTGTTCTGTGGGGCCCGGGTGGGGGTCCCCCCTCACTGTGTCCCGGGGGGTCCCCCCTCACTGTGGGGTCGGGCCCGGGGTCCCCCCCACTGTGTCCGGGGGTCCCTGTGGGGCCGGGCCCGGGGGTCGCTGCCCCCTCGCCCCCCGTCCCGTCCCGTCCCGTCCCGCCCCGCGCAGCCATTTTGCGTCTCGGGGCCTCCCCGGGGAACCGGCGGCGGCTCAAAATGGCGGCCTGAGGGGGGAGCACGGACGGACCCACGGACGGAGACGCGGATGGACAGACGGACAGAGCGGGACCCACGGACAGAGCCGGACCCAGAGCGGGACCCATGGACAGACCCGGACCCACAGCTCTGCCCCACAGACAGACCCATGGTGGGACCCACAGACAGACCCACAGCTCTGCCCCACAGCGGGACCCACAGACAGACCCACGGCTGACCCTGACCCACAGCAGGACCGATAGGGGGACCCATGGACAGACCCACAGATGGATCCTGACCCACAGCTCTGCCCCACAGTGGGACCCACAGACAGACCCATGGTGGGACCCACAGACAGACCCACAGATGGATCCTGACCCACAGCTCTGCCCCACAGCGGGACCCACAGACAGGCCCACAGCCTGACCCACAGTGGGACCCATGGTGGGACCCACAGACAGACCCACAGACAGAGCCATGGGCTGACCCTGACCCACAGTGTGACCCTGAACCACAGCAGGACCCACAGTGTGACCCTGACCCACAGCAGGACCTACAGTGTGACCCTGACCCACAGTGTGACACAGAGCCTGACCCTGACCCACAGTGTGACCCTGACCCACAGTGTGACCCACAGCCTGACCCTGACCCACAGCAGGACCCACAGCCTGACCCTGACCCACAGCAGGACCCACAGTGTGAGCCTGACCCACAGTGGGACCCACAGTGTGACACAGAGCCTGACCCTGACCCACAGCAGGACCCACAGCCTGACCCTGACCCACAGCAGGACCCACAGTGTGAGCCTGACCCACAGTGGGACCCACAGTGTGACACAGAGCCTGACCCTGACCCACAGCAGGACCCACAGTGTGACCCTGACCCACAGCAGGACCCACAGCCTGACCCTGACCCACAGCCTGACCCTGACCCACAGTGTGACCCTGACCCACAGTGGGACCCACAGTGTGACACAGAGCCTGACCCTGACCCACAGCAGGACCCACAGCCTGACCCTGACCCACAGTGTGACCCACAGTGTGACCCTGACCCACAGCAGGACCCACAGTGTGACCCTGACCCACAGCGGGACCCACAACCTGACCCTGACCCACAGCTCTGCCCCACGGATCCCAACAGATCCCAGATCCACCCACACGGATCCCAGGAAATCTCAGATTTCACCTCCCCCATCACCTCCTGGCACTGTGGGGCAGGACCTGCCCATCCTACCTGTGCCCCCCTCACCCTCCCAGTGCCCCCCAGTGCCCCCCAGTCCCCCACCTGTGCGCGGGGCCCTCATGGACTGGGTGTTGCTGCTCCGGGGGTCCTCGGGGGGGGGTCACAGCCGGCCGGGCCTCCTGGATGGGGGGAGAGATGGAGAGGGGTCAGAACAGGTAGATTTGGGGGTACTGGGGGTGTTGGGGGGATCAGAACAGGGGGAGTTGGGGGTACCAGGGTGTTGGAGGGGGTCAGAACAGGTGGATTTGGGGGTACCAGGATGTTGGGGGGGTCAGAACAGGTGGATTTGGGGGTACTGGGGGTGTTGGGGGGATCAGAACAGGTGGATTTGGGGGTACCTGGGGTGTTGGGGGGGTCAGAACAGGGGGAGTTGGGGGTACCTGGGGTGTTGGGAGGTCAGAACAGGTGGATTTGGGGGTACCTGGGGTGTTGGGGGGTCAGAACAGGTGGATTTGGGGGTACTGGGGGTGTGGGGGGTCAGAACAGGTGGATTTGGGGGTACTGGGGGTGTTGGGGGTGGTCAGAACAGGTGGATTTGGGGGTACTGGGGGTGTTGGGGGGTGGTCAGAACAGGTGGATTTGGGGGTACTGGGGGTGTTGGGGGGTTCAGAACAGGTGGATTTGGGGGTACTGGGGTTGTTGGGGAGGCAGGAACACCCGGACACGGGTGACAAGAGGGGGGGTGATGGAGTGAGGGTGACAAAACAGGGGGTGACAAAACAGGGGGTGACAAAGTGGTGACAGGTGACAAATGGGGGTGTGACAAAGCAGGGGGTGACAGAGTGGGAGGTGACAAAGTGGTAACAGGTGACAAATGGGGGGGTGACAAAGCAGGGCTGGGTGATTGGGGGGGGTCAGAACACCTGGACAAGGGTGACATAAAAGGGTGGGGTGGTGACAGAACGGGTGTGACGTCACTGCAGGGGGGAGTCAGGGTTGGTGTGACGTCATCACCTGTGACGTCACTACAGGGGGATCAGAGCTGGCTGGTGTGACGTCATTGTCACCGTGAGGGGGCAGGTGTGACATCACTGGTGGGGGGTCAGGGGTGGTGTGACGTCACCATGAGGGGATGGGTGTGACGTCACCATGAGGGGATGGGTGTGACGTCACTGCAGGGGGGATCAGGGTTGGTGTGATGTCATCAGCTGTGACGTCACAGGTGAGGATCAGGAGCGGTGTGACATCACCACAAGGGAATGAACGGCTGTGACGTCACTGCAGGGGAGTTCAGGTAGAGTGTGAGGGGGTCAGGTGGGCTGTGACGTCATCAGCCGTCAGAGTGACGTCACCAGGGGGATTCGGGGGGGTGACATCGCTGTCACTGTGAAGGGACATCAGTGACGTCAGGGGGGGTGTGTCAGGTGTGCCGTGACGTCATCAGGCATCACAGTGACATCACGGGGGGGGTGTCACACACAACCGGGGGGCTGCAGAGGGGTGATGAGTGAGGGAGGGGGGACACACAGAGGGGGGAGGGGCCATGACGGGGGTGACGCAGGTTAGGGACACCCGGCAGGAGAGGGAGAGGCGGGAGGAGGGACCCCCATGCACCCCAACCCCCCTCGAGTCTCCCAAACCCCAGCCAACCCCCATCACCTGGAACAACCTGCGACACCCCGGGGCACCCGAGTGTCACCGGAGGGTGGGGGACACACCACCCACCCCCCTCCCCACTGCGTGTGTCTCCCCCTCACCCCCAGGTACCCCGGAGCCGCCTGACAACTCTGTCCGTCCGCGACGTCACCGGCACCGGGGTGGGGAAGTGTCACCCAACTGTTGCCATGGAAACAACCCCCCTCCCCCGCCCCTCCGAGCCCTCCAGGCCCCGCCCCCGTGGGAAACACCTTCCACCGGCCACCAATCAGGGGCAGCGGAGGGGAGGCCACGCCCCTTTCTGAGCCCGCCCACTCGTAGCCGGCGGCCAATGGGAGGATGTGCATCGTGTTGACGTCATTGCTCACCTGGATGCTCATTGGCTGGGCTGGGAGTGACGTCACAGGGCCCCGTCCTGCCGCGGGGGTGTTAAAGGAGCCGGCGGAGGCTGCAGGGGAGGGGCCAAAGGGGCGGGGTCAGAAGAGGAGTGACCAGAGGGGCGGGGCAATGAGGGGCGGAGTCATTTCGGGGCGTGGTCGGGGCAGAGATGGGTGGGGCGTGGGCGTGGTCATAGGGGAGGGGCAGGGTCAGAGGGGAATGGGGGCACACAGGTGGGCGGGGGACACAAACACGGGTGGGACACACCCCCACACGGAGCACACACAGAGCACACAACACACAAATGACATACACAACACATGTGTGACACAACACACACATGACACACGCAACACAGAGCATGCAACACACACGTGACACACACAACACAAAGCACGCAACACACGTGTGACACAACACACACAGAGCACACAACACACACAGAGCACACACAGAGCACACACCACACACGTGTGATGCACACAACACACAGAGCACACACAGAGCACACACAGAGCACACAACACACACGACACAGACACAGAGCATACACAGAGCACACAACACACACAGAGCACACACCACACACGTGACACAGACACAGAGCACACACCACACACGTGTGACACACACACACACACATACAACAACGCATGGACCTGGCACAGCCACACACGGAGCTGACACACCCTGACACGGACACACGATCACATGTGGACACCACACACCTGCACACGGACATACAACCACACACCGACCTGGCACACACCTGCAGGGGGATGAACAACTGCACATAGACCTGAAACACAACCACACACAGACCTGAAACACAACCACACACAGACCTGAAACACAACCACACACAGACCTGACACGCTCACACCTGCAGGGGGATGAACAACCACACACAGAGCTGAAATACAATCATACGTGGACACACAATCACACCTGCAGGGGGATGAACAACCACACACAGACCTGACACACAACTGCACACAGACCTGACACGCTCACACCTGGAGGGGGATGAACAACCACAAACAGAGCTGAAACACAACCACACACCGACCTGATGCACTCACACCCGCATGGGGGTGAACAACAACACACAGACCTGACACACAATCACACTCGGACCTGACACACTCACACCCGCTCGGGGATGAACAACCAGACACAGAGATGAAATACAATCGCATGTGGGCTGACACACACCCAGACACACGTACACACGGACCTGACAGCCCCCCCACATCGATACAACACACAACTGCCCACGGATGAACAGCCACCCACAGACACTTGACACCCGCACATGGATGAACAGTCACACACAGAAAACAACACACATGAACCTCTGACACCCGCACATGCAACCGCACATGGACAAACACCACACACAAACCCCTGACACCTGGACACACAACCACACACGGAGCAACAGCCACACACAAACCTCTGACACCCGGACACACAACCACACACAGACAAACAGCCACACACAACCCCCCCGACACCCGGACACACAACCAGACATGGACAAACAACACACACAAACCGCTGACACCCAGACACACAGGAAACAACACACATGAACCTCTGACACCCAGACACACGACCGCACATGGACAAACAGCTGCACATGGGAGAACAACACACACAAACCCCTGACACCTGGACATGGACAAACACCCCCACACAGACAAACAACCGTGCACAGGCAGCTGGTGCACGAACACACACCCACACACGGACCTGACGCACAACCGCACACGGAGCGACAGCCACACACAAACCCCTGACACCCGGACACACAACCACACACGGAGCGACAGCCACACACAAACCTCTGACACCCGGACACACAACCACACGGACCAACAGCACACACAGACAACTGTACTTAAAGACATTTGACAGGCAGACAGACACCTGCAGATGGACATGACACACACCTGCAGAGGGACAGACAGCCGGACACTGATGTGACACGCTCACACCCGCACAGGGATGTGACACCCAATCACACATGGACACACAGCCACACACTGACACCCAATCACACACGGACACACAACCACACACTGACACACAGCCACACATGGACCTGGCATACTCACACCCGCACAGGGATGTGACACACAACTGCCCACGCATGAACAACCACACACGGACCTGGCACACTCACACCCGCACAGGGATACAACACACAACCACACACAGACCTGGCACACACCCGCACAGGGATACAACACCCAATCACACACGGACACACAGCCACACACGGACACACAACCACACATGGACCTGGCACACACCCGCACAGGGATACAACACCCAATCACACATGGACACACAACCACACACGGACCTGGCACACACCTGCACAGGGATACAACAACCAACCACACACGGACACACAACCACACACGGACACACACCCACACAGAAATACAACACCCAATCACACATGGACACAACCACACACAGACCTGGCACACACCTGAACAGGGATACAACACCCAATCACACATGGACCTGACACACACCTGCACAGGGATACAACACCCAATCACACATGGACACACAACCACACACAGACACGCAATCACACACGGACCTGGCACACAACCACACACGGACAAACAGCCGCACACGGACCTGGCACGCTCACACCCGCACAGGGATGGGACACACAACCACACACGGACACACAACCACACACGGACATGCAACCACACACAGACCTGGCACACTCACACCCGCACAGGGATGGGACACGCAACCACACACGGACACGACACGTACCCGCACACGGATACGACACGCAACCGCCTACGGATGAACAACCGCACACGGACAAACAACCGCACAGGGACACTTGACACACGGACACACACCCGAACGCGGATACGACACACGGACAAACAGCCGCACACGGATACGACACACGGACACACAGCCACGCAGGGACCTGTCACACACCCGCACAGGGAGCTGTCACACTCACACCTGCATGGGGACACCCCCCTCCCCCAAAACACACAACACACCCCCACACCCCCACCACAAACACACAACACCCTCCCCCAGTCACCAATCACACCCCCAACACCCCTGGGGTGCAGCCCCCTCCCAGCAGCACTTGGGGGTGTTGGGGGAGGACAAGTGGCATTTGGGGGCCAGAGTGGGTCCTGAGGCGGGGGAGGGACATTGAGGGGAGGGGGTGTGACAGGGAGTGACGCAGGGGACCGGGAACTTTGGGGAGTCCCTGGGGGCACTTTGGAGGTGCCTGGGGGACACTTTGGGGGTCCTGCAAGGGGGTTTGGGGTAGGTGGGGGATGTTTGGGGGCATTTATGGGGTGGGGGGATTTAGGGGTGGGCGTGACCCAAGGCAATGAGGGGGTGGAGGGTCGTGTCCCCCTCCCTCCGTGACCTCCCCTCGGGGGTCGGTGTCGGGGAAGGGGGAGGGGTCGCGACAGTGACAGGCAGGACGTGGGGAAAAGGAGGAGGGGGTCGCGACGCCTCCGGCGGGCGGGAGCAGAGTGTGGGGGTCTCGGTGAAGGGGGTGGTCCCGGTGTTCGTGGGGTCCCGGGGCCCGGGTGGGGGTCGTTACCGGGGCCTGTCCGGGGCCGGGTGATGTCGCGGCGGCGGCGGCGGCGGCGCAAGATGGAGGCGGCGCGTTGGGCCCCGGGTGGGAGGGAGGGAGGACCCTCGCCCCACGGGAGGACATTCGGGGGACACAGAGGACATGGAGGAACCCCTGCCCCACGGGGGACATTCGGGGGACACAGAGGACATGGAGGGAACCCCCGCCCCACGGGGGACATTCGGGGGACACAGAGGGACATGGAGGGAAGCCCCGCCCCACGGGGGGACCTTGTGGGGGGACATGGGGGACATGGAGGGAACCCCGCCCCACGGGGGGACACTTGGGGGGACATGAAGGAGAGCCCCCACCCCACGAGGGGACACACATGGGGGACACAGAGGGACATGGAGGGAACCCCCACCCCACGGGGGGACACTGGGGGAACATGGGGGACATGAAGGAGAGCCCCCACCCCACAGGGGGGACATTCGGGGAAACACATGGGGGAAAAGGGAGGGCACAAATGGGGGGCACAGACAGGGGATATTGGGGGACACTGGGAGGGACATGGGAAGGGGACAAGGGGGACATGGAGGGACACCCCTGGAGGGAATGGCGGAGGAATGAGGGGTGGGGGACACGGGGGGACACAACGGGGGACACAACCAGGGGGCACAGTCAGGGGACACAAATGGGGGGAGGGGGCACAGCTGGGGGGGACAGTCAGGGTGACAAACCCAGGGGACATAACCCGGGGGGGGCACAGGTTGGGGTCACAAGTTGGGGAGGGGTACAGGGGGACACAACTGGGGGCACAACCGAGGGGACAGCAGGACACAACTGAGGGGACATTGGGACACAGATGGGGGGGGAACAACTGAGGAGGGGACACGGGTGAGGTGACAGCCGGGGGACACAACCCGGGGGGGCAACCCTCGGACAGCTGGGGGTACAACCGGGGACACGGTGACACAAAACTGGGGACACAACCAGGGACACGGTGACACACAGCTGGGGACAGAACTGGTGACAACTGGGGGCACAGCTGGGAGTACAACCGGGGACAGGGTGACACACAGCTGGGGACACAACCAGGGACACGGTGACATACAGCTGGGGACAGAATGGGTGACAACTGGGGGTACAACCGGGGACATGGTGACACAAAACTGGGGACACAGCTGGGGGTACCACCAGGGACGTGGTGACACAAAACTGGGGACAAACTAGGGACAGAACAGGTGACAACTGGGGACACAGCTGGGGGTACAACCGGGGACATGGTGACACAAAACTGGGGACAAACTGGTGACAACTGGGGACACAGCTGGGGGTAGAATTGAAAACACGGTGACACACAGGTGGGGACACAACCAGGGACGCGGTGACACAAAACTGGGGAAAAACTGGGAACAGAACAGGTGACAACTGCAGGTACAACCGGGGACGTGGTGACACAAAACTGGGGACAGAACTGGTGACAACTGGGGGCACAGCTGGGGGTACAACTGGGGGACACGGTGACACAAAACTGGGGACAAACTGGGGACAGAACAGGTGACAACTGGGGGCACAGCTGGGGGTACCACCAGGGACACGGTCACACAAAACTGGGGACAAACTGGGGACAGAACTGGTGACAACTGGGGGTACAACCGGGGACATGGTGACACACAGCTGGGGACAGAACTGGTGACAACTGGGGGCACAGCTGAGGGTACAACTGGGGACAGGGTGACACAAAACTGGGGACAAAGTGGGAATAGAACGGGTGACAACTGGGGGTACAACCAAGGACATGGTGACACAAAACTGGGCACAGAACTGGTGACAACTGGGGGCACAGCTGGGGGTACAACTGGGGACAGGGTGACACAAAGCTGGGGACAAACTGGGGACAGAACTGGTGACAACTGCGGGTACAACCGGGGACAGGGTGACACAAAACTGGGGACAGGACAGAACAGGTGACAACTGGGGGCACAGCTGGGAGTACCACCAGGGACAGTGGTGACACACGGGTGGGGGTACAACCGGTGACACACTGACACACCACCACGTGTCACTCGTGTCCGGCTGTGCCGTGTGAGGTTGTACCTCAGGCTGTGTCACGTGGGTGTCACGTTGTATGTCCAGCTGTGTGGGTCGGGTTGTACCCTCCGGTTGTACCTCAGGGTGTGTCACGTGGGTGTCACGTTGTATGTCCAGCTGTGTGGGTCGGGTTGTACCCTCCGGTTGTACCTCAGATCGTGCCCCACGGGGCTTGGGGGAGGGGGTGGTGTCACCTCTCAGGCTGTGCCACGCGGTGTCAGGCGTGTCCTGTGTCACTGTTGTCACACCCCATGTCACCCCTGTGTCACATCATCCTGTCACCCCACCCCGTGTCACCCTCCATGTCCCACTGTCCCACCCCCAGTGGTGAAGGAGGGACCCCCAGACCCCACCAGGGACCCCCAGACCCCACCAGGGACCAGTGAGGGTGACAAAATTCCACCAGGGACAGGGGGGGACGGCACCGATGACAGGGGGTACACGGTGACACCGGGGGACACCCCGGATAGGGTGACCTGAACCCCACTGGTGACAAGGGAGACCCTGAGAGTGACACGAGGTGGGGAAAAAACCCCTTCCTGTCCCCCAAAATACCCCCCAGTGCCCAAATTGCCCCTTCCCTGTCCCAATTGCCCCCAGCCCTCCCTGTGCCCCCCAAACACCTTTTTCCTGCTCCCCATCCACTCCCCCCAATTTCCCCCTCCGTGCCCAAAACTGCCCCCCAAAGTCCCCTTTTCTTGCCCCAATCATCCCCCAATCCCCTCCTGCTCCCCCCTAAACACCCCCAAACCCTCTCTCTCCCTCCCAAATCTCCTGCTCCCCCAAAATTCCCGGTTTCTTGCCCCAATTATGCCCCAACCCCTTCCTGCCCCCTCCAACCCCTCCTTTTCTCCCCAGATCTCCCTTTCCTGCCCCAATTGCCCCCCAACCCCTCCTGCTCCTCCTAAACACCCCCAACCCCTAAATACCTTCCTGCCCTTCAAACTACCCCCTCCTGCCACCCCAAACCCTCCCTGTCCCCCTCCTCCCCGTCCCCTAAACACCCCGAATCCCATCTGGCCTCCCCAGCCCCTTCCCCGCCGCCCCCTCCGCTGCAGGCCCCGAAGCCTCGGCCTTTCCCAGCGGCCGCGGCCGGGCCGGGAGCGCCGGGAGCGGCCGGGGCCGGGCGGGCGAGGCCGGGGCTGCGCAGGCCGCGGCCGGAGCGGCGCTTCGGCCATTTCCGTCAGAGCTTCGTCAACTTTCGGCACCTTCCGTGAAAGCTTCGGTAGCTTCCGTCACCTTCCGTCAACGATCGTCCATCTCCGGGTAACCTCGGTCATTTCCGTCACTCCCGCCAGCGCTTCGGCACTTTCCGTCCATCTCCGCCGCCCTCCGCCCGCCCCCGCCGCCTGTCGGTGCTCGGGCGCGAGGGGCGGGGCTTCGCTCCCGAACGCTTCACGAGGCGATCCCACCGGGCCGAAGCGCCGTGGGGGGGGTCCCGCCGCGCCGCGTCCCGCGGGGGTCTCCGGGAGCGGCCGCCGCCTTTTTGTCCCTTCCCCTCTCTGCGCTTCCCTCGGGCGCCATCGCGGGACGCGCCGCTCCCTCCTGGCCCGGCGGGTTCTCTTCCATTCCCCCCCCTTTGGGCCGTGAGGGCGCTTGGTACGCTCCGGCCACGCCCCCTTTCGGCGGCGCGCGGGGGCCGAGTCGATAAAAGGCGGCGCGGGCGCCTCAGCCGCTCCAGTCGCGCCGAGAGCGCGGAGCGGCCGGAGCTGAAAGGGGGAGCTCCAGGCCGGGGGCTCCGTGAGGGGCTCCGTGGTTGGGGGGGGAGCGCTCCCCTCGGAAGTCCCGGGTGGGGTTTAATTAGCCCCCCCCCCGCCCCTAAAGGGGGAAAAGGTTTATTTTGAACATCCGGAGCGGCGACCTCCCCCCCGCCAAGCGGCACCATGCACGGCGGGCCGCCCTCAGGCGACAGCGCCTGCCCGCTGCGCACCATCAAACGGGTCCAGTTCGGCATCCTCAGCCCCGATGAGATGGTACCGGGGCCCGGGCGGGGAGCGGGGCCGGCGGCTGAGGGAGGAACGGCGGCGGGAAATGGCGCCGGGGGCACCGAGAGGGGGGGACGGAGCGGCCCCGGGGGGAGGAGGAGAGCGCCCCCCACAGGGCCGGGGGAGTGAACGCGTGAGGGGGTTTGGGGGGTCCTGAGGGGATTTTGGGGGGTCTTGAGGTGAACAGGGGGGGTCTGGAGGGTGTTAGGTCCCCTGGAGGGGTCTTGAGGTGCCTGGAGGGACTTGGAGGTCCCTGGATCCCCTTTAGGGGTTCTTGGGGTGCTGGGGGGGGGTCTCGTGGATGAATTGGGGGTCTGGGGGTCCCCACGTGCCTCAGTTGTCCCTTTCTCCCCCCACCCCCCCAGAAACGGATGTCGGTGACCGAGGGGGGCATCAAGTACCCCGAGACCACCGAGGGGGGCCGCCCCAAACTGGGGGGGCTGATGGACCCCCGGCAGGGCGTCATCGAGAGGACGGGCCGGTGCCAGACCTGTGCTGGTGAGTGGGGGGGCTGGACCCCCAAAATCCCTCCCCATGGGGGAGTCCTGGACCCTTAAATGTTCATGGGAGGTCCTGGATCTTCAACTCCAACTTTTGGCACCCCAGACCCACCTTTGGTGTCAACAAACCCACCTCTGGTGACCCCAAAATGCCCCTTTGTCACCTCAAACCCACCTGTGGTGACCCCAAACCAACCTCTGGTGACCCCAAAATGGGACTTTGTCACCCCAAACCCACCTTCAGTGTCCCCAAACCCACCTGTGGTGACCCCAAAGCCACCTTCAGTGCCCCCAAACCAATCTCGGACCCCAAATGGGACTTTGTCACCCCAAACCCACCTTCAGTGTCCCCAAACCCACCTGTGGTGACCCCAAAGCCACCTTCAGTGCCCCCAAACCCACCTGTGGCGACCCCAAACCCTCCTCTGGTGACCCCAAAATGGGACTTTGTCACCCCAAACCCACCTTCAGTGTCCCCAAACCCACTTTTAATGACCCCAAAATGATCCTCTGTGACCCCAAAACCACCTCTGGTGACCCCAAAATGACCCTTTGTGACACCAAACCCACCTTTAGTGCCCCAAAATGCCCCTTTGTCACCCCAAACCCACCTTTAGTGACCCCAAACCCACCTTCAGCGCCCCAAAATGCCCCTTTGTCACCCCAAGCCCACCTTTAGTGACCCCAAACCCACCCCTGGTGACCCCAAAATGCCCCTTTGTCACCCCAAACCCACCTTTAGTGACCCCAAACTCACCTCTGGTGTCCCCAAACCCACCTCTGGTGTCCCCAAACCCACCTTCAGTGCCCCCAAAATGCCCCTTTGTCACCCCAAGCCCCCGAAACGCCCCCCGTGTGACCCCCCCTTGCCCCGTGGGTGCCCGCAGGGAACATGACGGAGTGCCCGGGGCACTTCGGGCACATCGAGCTGGCCAAGCCCGTGTTCCACGTGGGCTTCCTGGGCAAGACCATGAAGATCCTGCGCTGTGTCTGCTTCTTCTGCTCCAAACTGCTCGTGGACTCGGTGAGACCCCCCAAAAAAACCCATAAAACCCCAAAAAACCCCACAAAAACCCCAAAAAACCCACAAAAACTCCAAAAAACCCCACAAAACCCCCCCAAAAAGCGCGGCGAGGCCCCAAAATGGCCCCGTGGTGGCAATGGGGGGGTGGGAGGGGTGAGGGGGGGATTTGGGGGTCCCTGCTGGGCACTGGGAGGGGTTTGGGGGTGTTGGAGGGGGTTGACAAAGTGGGGGGACAACTAAAGAGGGTGACAGAGCCGGGGGGACATCAAGGGGAGGTGACAAAGTGGGGGGGACACCAAGGAGGGGTTGACAAAGTGAGGGGACACCAAGGGGAGGTGACAGAGTTGGGGGGACACCAAGGGGAGGTGACAAAGAGAGGCACAATAAGGGCAGGTGACAGAGAGTTGGGGGTACACGGGATTGTCCCCTGCAGGGTGGAGCCCTGGAGATGGTGAAGGACCACGGTGGGACCCCAAACCCGCTTTTAGTGACCCTAAACCCGATGTTTTTTACCCCAAACCCGACTTTTATCACCCTAAAACCAACTTCTGTCACTCCAAGATAGACTTTGGTGACCCCAAACCCGACTTTGGTGACCCCAAACCCGACTTTGGTGACCCCAAACCCGACTTTGGTGACCCCGACCTGCTCTGTGACCCCGAAATGGCGATTTCTGACCCCAAACTGGTGTGTTTCTTTTTTTTTGGGAGAGCAGAACAACCCCAAGATCAAGGACATCCTGGGCAAGTCCAAGGGGCAGCCCAAGAAGAGGCTGACCCACGTGTACGACCTGTGCAAGGGCAAGAACATCTGCGAGGGGGGCGAGGAGATGGACCACAAATTTGGGGTGGAGCAGCCCGAGGGTGACGAGGACCTCACCAAGGAGAAGGTGAGCACCCCAAAATGCACCCTTTGGAACCCCAAAATGCAGCCTTGGAGCCCCAAAATGTACCCCTGGACCCTCAAAATGCACCCGTGGAGCCCCAAAATGCAGCCCTGGAGCCCCAAAATGCACCCCTGGAGCCCCAAAATGCAGCCCTGGAGCCCCAAAATGTACCCCTTGGAGCCCCAAAATGCACCCCTGGAGCCCCAAAATGCAGCCCTGGACCCTCAAAATGCGGCCCTGGACCCTCAAAATGCACCCTGGAGCCCCAAATGCACCCCTGGAGTCCCAAAAATGCACCCCTGGAGCCCCAAAATGCACCCCTGGAGCCCCAAAATGCACCCCTGGAGCCCCAAAATGCAGCCCTGGAGCCCCAAAATGTACCCCTTGGAGCCCCAAAATGCACCCCTGGAGCCCCAAAATGCACCCCTGGTGCCCCAAAAATGCAGCCCTAGAGCCCCAAAATGCACCCCTGGAGCCCCAAAATGCACCCCTGGAGCCCCAAAATGCAGCCCTGGACCCTCAAAATGTACCCCTGGAGCCCCAAAATGCACCCCTTGGAGCCCCAAAATGCAACCCTGAACCCTCAAAATGTACCCCTGGAGCCCCAAATGCAGCTCTGGAACCCCAAAATGCACCCCTGGAGCCCCAAAATGCACCCCTGGAGTCCCTGGGGGTCAGTGCCCCTGGGACCCTATTGGTGTTTCTACGACCCCATTAACGCCCCAAATTTTCCTTTAATTCTCTGTTAATGTCATTGTGGTCCCATTAATGCTCCTGGGACCCTATTAATGCCCCAAGCTCCCCTTTAAGCCCCTATTAATGGCTCTGGGACCCCATTAACCACTCTGTGACCCCATTAATTGCTCCATTAACCCTGCAGGGCTGTGGGGGGTGCAGGCAGTACCAGCCCCTGGGACCCCATTAATGCCCCTTTAACTCCCTATTAATACCCCTGTGACCCCATCAACGCCCCTTTAACCCCCTGTTAATGCCCCTGGGACCCCATTAACACCCCTGTGACCCCATTAACCCCCCTGGGGTCCCCAGGGCCACAGGGGGTGTGGGCGGTGCCAACCCCTGTGGGTCAGTGCCCCTGGGACCCCATCAATGCCCCTTTAACCCCTTGTTAATGCTCCTGGGACCCCATTAATGTTCTTGGGACCCCATTAACACCCCTGTGACCCCATTAACCCCCCTGGGGTCCCCAGGGCCACAGGGGGTGTGGGCGGTGCCAACCCCTGTGGGTCAGTGCCCTGGGACCCCATCAATGCCCCTTTAACCCCTTGTTAATGCTCCTGGGACCCCATTAATGTTCTTGGGACCCCATTAACACCCCCTGTGACCCCATTAACCCCCTGAGTCCCCAGGGCCACAGGGGGTGGGCGGTGCCAGCCCCTGTGGGTCAGTGCCCCTGGGACCCCATCAATGCCTCTTTAACCCCTTGTTAATGCTCCTGGGACCCCATTAATGTTTTGGGGACCCCCTTAACCCCCTGTTAATGTTCCTGTGACCCCATTAACCCCCTGTTAATGTCCCTGTGACCCCATTAACCCCCCTGGTGTCCCCCCCAGGGCCACGAGGGGTACGGGTGGTACCAGCCCCTGTGGGACAGTGCTCCTGTGACCCCATTAACCCCCCTGGGACCCCATTAACCCTTCTGTGACCCCATTAACCCCCCTGGTGTCCCCCCCAGGGCCACGAGGGGTACGGGTGGTACCAGCCCCTGTGGGTCAGTGCCCCTGTGACTCCATTAACCCCCCTGGGACCCCATTAACCCCCCTGGTGTCCCCCCCAGGACCACGGGGGATGCGGGTGGTACCAACCCCTGGGACCCCTGTTAATGCCTCTGGGACCCCATTAATACCCCTGGAACCCCATTAACCCCCCTGGGGTCCCCCCCAGGGCCACGGGGGGTGCGGGTGGTACCAACCCCTGTGGGTCAGTGTTCCTGTGACCCCATTAATGGTTTTGGGACCCCGTTAACCCCCCTGTGACCCCATTAACCCTTCTGTGACCCTATTAAGCCCCCCGGTGTCCCCCCCAGGACCACGGTGGGTGCGGGCGGTACCAACGCCTGGGTCCCCATTA